CATGACCATGCATTACAATAAAATTGTAAAGTTGGTTTGGTTTAGAGTTGTCAATAAGAACAATAAACTGTTCAAACAAAATCACAAATTTCACTCAGGACAATCAAGACATAGAAACACAATATACCTTCTTTTGTGGGTTTGGAAACTGCTCATGAAGAATGCGTTTCTCTGAAGTTTGATGTCTTTCATCTGACTGGGATCCTGAACAATGATCTCCCCTAAAATGGTGGACAAAACCCATCAGTCACAACATGATTGAATTTACCTTGCAAGAGCAGATCTAGATCATAGATTCCAGAAGCACACAATCTCATCTGAAACACTGGCACTGGACAGAGAGAGGCACTGTGAGGGAAATTTTCTTGCCCACCAAAAACAACACAATGTATCGACCGTGGGATCTACTCAAAGTGCTCTTTTAATCCTTTACACCCTGACATTAGTATGTACTTTCTCCATACTATTCTCTTTACATTTGCTAAGATGCTGTCAAGGAGAATTTGCTTAACAATCAAGAGGCTCTTTGGTTGGTGATCATTTCCTTTATTCTTGTGACCTTCCTGTGTCATTCAGGGGTGACATTGCAAGGAGAAATTAAAACTAGTCACTCTTAGGGATTAAGAAGTTAACAGATCTGTCCAAGGTTGATATTGGTGTCTGTTCATTGTTTTTAAGGTCCTAGAAACATCTCTAGGTATGTACATACCTGCATGATGTGTCCTCCACGAGATCAAAGGTTGTAGAATTAGTCATTTCGATGCTATGAACACTGCCAAAGAAGTCAGTGACTAGAACCTTTTAAAAAAATGTTCTAGTCTAGTCAGTAGAAATACCAGTACATTTCTTATCCCCCCCCCCATTAATTTTCTACTATTAATGTTAATTTAGTTTGAAAAGCCTTTGGTTACACTCATGACAATGGATAATTAATCCTGGGACAGGGGGAGAGGAAGTTGCAGTAACAACAACATTGTTTGTTTTGTTATGTAAATGCAAATGCAAACTATGCCAAGTTTGATAATCACTCTCTCTTTCTCAAACCTTACTTTACAAGACCAGCATAGTATCCCATTTAGAATTTCGATAAAACAGCAGTCAGAGAGGTTAATGAGTCAAATACCTGGATACTAACTGTTCCACTAGTCTACTGACACTTCTCAGGGTCTACTGTGTTACAAAACAAATCCGCACATACAGTATATTTTTAAGTCATACTGGTAATTACAATAGATTATAAAACAAGTACCTTTTTAGGGTCTCTCTTAAACAAATCAGATCTCACTCCTGGAGTAGATATTACCAGAGCTGGTGTGGTATATTTGAACTATGTAGACAAAAATTGGCAGAGTTGAAGTTGTCTTAATTAAATGTTAGCATTTAATATAATTGAAAACAAACTTTCAATCATTCCAATTCAATGTTCTTGTAGTTTCCTCTATGAAACAATTACTGATATTTCACATCCAACCAAGTTTTATATTCATCAAGTCAATGTTCTTGTAGTTTCCTCTTTGAAACAATTACTGCTATTTCACATCCAGCAAAGTTTTATATTCACCCAAACTTCTCACTTGTGCAATGGAAGGAGAAATGAAACAGGAAAAGAGAACTCTTCTTTGCCTGAGAAGCTGTCCATATGGAATACCCCAAAATAAATTGTGAAAAAATGACTCACCAACTCTCCCACAGTGGCCTTGCTGTTGGGCTTCACACCTTCCAAGAATTGAAGCACATAATATGTATATCTGTCAATCACATGCACTCCAATGGCAGGGTCTTCGTGATGCTAGAAAAAAAACAACAACAAAGAATTGACATGCAATAACATCTGAATAATCAGAACCCACATTGTAACAAATCTCTCTACGCTACAACAAAACAAAAACTTAATCATATGGTAACCAAAAACAATGTGTTTCTCTATGCTTGAACTTCCTATAGGCATGTTGTAATCTTATGATTTCTACAGACCATGCAAATGTAAATGAGAATCAGCCACATAAAATTACTCCACTGTGTAAAATGTTCTGAGCTAAAGTCACTAAAGCAGGTCAACTCTAGACTAACACAACAGTTAGCTCAGTTTGTAAGCACACTGCACCAGCCTTGGGGAATCACAGGTTCAAATCCTATTGAACTTTCCTAAAGAATTATTATTGTCATTATTTCTGCACGTATACTGTGCTTACCTAGTTCAAATATCATTGGTTCAAACACAGATGATTCATTTCATATCAAAATAAACTTACAGAAAGTGAGTCCTCTCCTACTAAACTGCTGCCAACAGCTAGAATGTTGGGTGAGTACAATTTCTGAGTCATGGAGTACGCTTGACAGGTATCCACAATCAAGAAGACTTCATTATACCTGCCAGCATGAATGAGTGCAGGTTAACATCAAGCATATAAAATATATTAAAAGAAATCAAACTGTTCTTTAAGCTTCATGAACTGTAAGCTCACAACAAGATGATTCAAAGCAACTTTTACCGTCTTTTCTGCCACATTTGCTCAAAGGCATCTGCCAGCTCAATACTAGTTATCTCCTCAGCATCTTGAAACTTGAGAAAGCCGTCACCACCATGACCTGAAAACAAAATCACAATAAATGTGATTATTTTATAAATTTGCAATTGCCATTAATCCAGTATTCCTGTTTTATAGAACAATTTAGTACCTACTCCTGTTTAGGGAGAGGAACTATTTAATTCAATAAAAGTCATCTGTCCTTTGTGCCTTGCTATAGAGAAGAATTTTAATTCATTGAAAGAAGATAAAATATAACTTGTCCTTGGTATTTAACCCTTTAACTGCAAGAAGTGATTAACATGTAACTTCTTCCCTCTAATAGCCATACATTATCCAGCAAACAGGTAATGAGAACAGTCAAATTTATCAGGTGAAAGTTGTTATTCTTGTTATTCTGTTAAATTCTCACAACTAATTTACAAGGAAATGTGTGGTAGCTAGAGGGGAGAATTAACAATCAGATCTTAGGATTTAAAGGGTTAAGGTATGAAGTTGGCATTTCATAGTAAGGGTACTAACCTGTCATGTATACAAGAATGTTGCTTCTCTCATCAGAGAGAAGTCTCTTAGATCTTGGTACTCTGGATGGCAAACGACCTGTTGTGGAGCATTACAACTCATGTGTTAATTTCTGTACTTGTTCTTGGATTTTAATAACTTTCTATTCAAGTGGCCTAAATAAAAAAGAAACTAAAAAATATATAGGAAGCAAAACTATTATGACATAAAGCTATTACCTGTCAATATTCTTATGAAATTTTCTACTGTGACCTGAAAAATTGAGATGCAGCAATTAATCAACACACTTTAGGTAACTAGTGTAACATCCAATGCCATAGTGATAGCAAATAAGGTATTCTCTAGGCAAAAATATGAACTTCTTAAGTTCATTCACAATTCAGCTCACATAAGAGTCAACTTTACATGTTTCTGTCTGCTTATGTATTCACCTCATATCCTCTGTAATCAACTTCAATATCATCACCATATACATTAATATGCTGGTTTGCATTGTTGAACACTGTTCCTATAATTGCAAAAAAACAACAACAAAAAAGATCAAAGAATTTGAACAAGATTTCTAAAGAAAATATGGATTGAAAGATGCAAACAAATTAACCTCAATATCACAAAAAATAAAAAAAAGCAATCAATTATAGGAGTAAAACAGTTATTACAAGATTGACAACAAAGCTGACCTGGTCTTGGGTTTCGGGCATTGCAAGCCATATCATCAGCAAGCATAACAATAATATGACTGTAAGGGCAATAAAACAACAGAAACATTTCCATGTAAGTTCTAATCAGCACAGTTTTCAAAAGGCTGTTGTTCTCCGCTTAAACACTTTACATGATAAATAAAAACATTTTTTTCCGTCTACTGGACTGTTCATATCCAAGGCCACGTGCAAGACCTACATCACTGGCACTAACATGTGTACACAAACTGCTCACCTGTCTGGGATTCCGAGCCGCTTAACACTTCTATACATGGAAAGAACGTTAGCCACGTGTCGGTAGTTGAACCAAAACCGCGAGGTACATACCTTGCAACGATAAAGGTGGAGAAAGATAGATTGAAAAGTTTGTAAGGAGCGTTTTCTAAAATTTACTGGTTACCCTTTAAATTAAGTTTTGCGTTTGTATAGTTCTAAATGGATTTTCCTCTCACCAATACAGCCCAGTTGTTAGTGTGATCACTCTTGAGGAACTTATCAAAAGATCTTCCAGTTTGTGCCGCTATAAATTGTGAAAATACAGCTAGATAAAGGAGCACAAGAAATGACAGTCTTGCCGCCATCTTGAGTTACAGAGGCTTGCAAGATATGCTGGGTATTAAACGATCACGATCCGAAGATTCTTCGGGCTGAAATGTTCTCACCGATTTTTGGTAACATCCCCTGTAGATTGTTTCCTTTAAGGAATAATTACGAACAAATTTTTTTGACGTACAATTTACCGCTATTTTAATTAATTTTATCCAAGAAAGCTTTGGCTGAAGTTGGGGCCGAAGTACCGAAGATTTCCGACTCGAGCAATTTCCAATTAGTCAATTATCATGTTGTCATAACAACGTTCGAACACCAGTCATTAGATTAAAACCTTCGATCGAAGAGTAGTTTGTGGAGACTGAGACTTTATGTAAACATTTAGAATTAAGACACGAATTATGACGGCGGAGGAAAGTAAAGAGTACATGGCGAAGACGGAGGTTCATCAGCTTTTTGAGGTACATTTGACTTATAGAGAGGCGCAAGAACCTGTGGGCAATATTTTTAGCTTTCCTACGTCGTTTACAAATTTCAGGAACTTCATTCACAAATCTAATTAAGGGACGCATAGAGTTCCAGATGGTTTTAAAAATTTTAAATTTCCAAGCATAGTTGTTCTCTGGGATTAATCTTAGGCGTTGTGGTGCGCCACAATGACAATGACTTGATTGCGCTCTTGTAGTGAATTAACTTTGCAAATCGCGCACAAACAGATAGCGTGTATTAGCAGCGGTTTAATCTCAGTAGCAGGTAAGAATCGGAGACTCATCGTCAAATTGACTGAGGTCAAATAAGAAGTGGTTCTGTCGACTGCTTTTTTTTCGTGAGATAAAACGGACAGGTTGTGCCCTCTGTAATCCGTGACACGAAAGTTCGATTTGGAACAGTTCGATTAGGATACATGATCGTCAATGTTTCTTTGTTTTACCTTTCGATCGTAACCTCTTAGAAACATTGCAAACTAATTAATTGTGGTAGCTCGATGTTTCTTTTGGTTTACTCGAAAAATATTGGCACTGACATTTGCTATATTTTATGATGTGGTCCTCATTTAAAAAATTCATTTATAAATGAGTATCGATCTGTTTATCCATTCTACGGCAGCTGCCATGTAAGCAATAGTGCAGCGTCTCTGAGGGGATAAATTAAGCCTCTTTTGCTGTTTTATATATCTATTCAAAATAACAAAAGACGTCTAACAAAGGGGAAAGAAAATAAACAAACTGAATTTCACTATTCGTGATGTGTTGCACTGAACGTATGCATGTGTTTCCAGTATTGGATCGTTTTAAATATGCATTATGTTGATTCAGCTTCTAAAATATTCAAATGTATAATGTATATTTCATAGACGCACACGGATTTGAAGAGAAGTCTGTGTATTAATCACTTCCATTGCTCTGCTTGGTCAGTTGAAAGCCATTTGTGAAATTTGAAAACATGAAAGATTTTCAGTTTAATATTTCAGCTATGGGTAGCAAGGCCTTTCCAGCCTCCGAGTTCACATGCCTTTTTGTATTCTCTGTTATTGTCCTAGGTAACTTGCTTATATAATAAATATATTTTTGACCAAGCTTCAAGATGCCTTAAAAATGTTTCCAGGGAATTTGACCAATATCTTGATGCAAAAAGTGTGACAATTAGCATTTTTATACCTGAAGGGAATGCTGACTGGCTTGCTGTATCACAAACCTGAGGATCATTTGGCTTTCCTGGAAAATTGCATTTCCCTTGCTAAAACAGAAAAGGATATAAAGTGGAACTCTTTCCTTGATGTCAGCAAGAAGCCCCTGCCACCTATCCCGAAAACAGATGGTCCAATCAAGTCTGAAGCAGGAGATGAAATCCGCACATTTACCACTGAACCAGAAATGAAACAGAAACAACCACTTCCTCCAATTAATGGGACTGCTCATCCATCCATTGATGAAGACGACAAGGAGTTGACTGAGAAAAATATTTTGACATCTGAATCTGATGAGGAGGTGGACGTGGAGTTTTCTGGTCAAAGGATTGTGTTTGTTCTTGGTAAGGGAATCAGTCATCAAAAGGTTACTGGATCAACTCATTAAAAGTTTGATACCTCGATCATTCAATCAATTAATCAGAATGATTCCTAAAGCTACTAGTACATACTAAAAAAGATAAAAACCTCCACTTTGCCAATTTTCAGCTTTCAAGTTCATTGAATTAAAATTTTTCTGAATAATCATTTGTCATCTGTTTCATATGGAATTGAATTCTGATCTGAATTCCACCTCTCTCCCCTGTTTTTTTATCTATGTAGTAGCCATGAGAAATGTATTGATCTGTTTGATTGTAGGAGGGCCAGGCTCTGGTAAAGGAACTCAATGTGCTCGAATTGTTGGGGAATTTGGTTATGTTCACTTATCAGCTGGTGACCTCCTAAGAAAGGAGGTGGCAAAAGGAAACAAAAGGGGACAGATGATTGAAGATATCATGAAGGAGGGGAAACTTGTTCCTCAGGTAATTAATCATTTACATTTAATATGAAACAGAAAATAATTCAAAAAATCAAAATTGGCAGCACTGACTGACTAATGAATGAATAAATTATTCTCTGCTCAGTCATTTAAGAAAATCCCCATACCCTTCCAAAAAGGTTTTTAATTATTTATAAATCTCCTCTTATTCCAAGGAAATTTGATTTCTAGTTCCAACCTTACTTCAAAACTTTGGTTTTTGAGACATCCCTCTCCCTGAGGCATGATTATTTTCTGGAACCACTTTAGTTATAGAGTTGGAATAGAAATGAAATGAGTGTTTAAAATTTAAATCAAACGCAAAGTTTACCAAAGCATAACAAGTTGTCTAAAATTAGCTGGTTCATCAGCAGCATGTATGTTGTCATCTCAGCATGGATAGTCTATCATAATTAATATTCATTATATGTTTATAAGGAGATCACAATTGAACTGTTGAGAGATGCTATGAGACAACACAAGGATTGTCCTGGATTTCTCATCGATGGCTTTCCAAGAGAAATACAGCAAGGATTGCAATTTGAGCAAGAGGTTAGTCTGCTTGGGTTGAAGTTTATATACACACTTATCTAAATTTACTAAATCAGGCATCTTTTTGTCAAATTGAATTTTTCACCATTTTGGTTGTAAATACCTGTATGACCTACTATGAGTTATTTCTTTGGGACTTCTCAGAGAGAACAGTAGGAAAAGAGTCATGCAACACTTGTTTTACTTTCACTATTTTAAAGTGGCACCCAAATGAATGAAAAAACCTCCATATGAGGACCTTGAGTTGGCAACTTGGCCCCATAAAAATTCCCTTGGGCTGCATGTGGGTATCCATCAACCATCTCTGTTATGGAATTTTTTCCTTTTTTGCTGTACCTCGCCAAGCTCTTTCAATACCAATTGCATACCATAATGATAGTATGGAGATCCTTTACAATCATCCTATTTGCACTGGAAGCTTTCTCAATTGTTTTACTATTGCAAATTTTCACCTTTTTCTGGGCAAACCCAAGGGTCAGAAGCACACCTAGAGCCCTCCCCTCCCTCATACCCATAAAGATCTCTTGGGGGAAGGGGACATGCATTGAAATTGTGTTAAGCCAAACATGAGTATCTTGCATCTAAATATATAACTGAAGAAAATTTTTTTTACTAGTCTGAGTAGAACTGCATACCTCTAGTTATACCTCATCTGATGAGACTTTGTGTTGTTGCTTTGCCAGGTTGTGGAAAGTGACTTCCTCCTTTTCTTCGAGTGCAGCGAGGAGGTCATGGAACAGCGATTACTTAAGCGAAGTGAAACTAGTGAGCGGCCTGACGACAACATCGAGACGATCAAAAAGCGTTTCACGACGTTCGTTGAGAAGACGTTGCCTGTTATTGGGCATTATGAAGAGCTCAGCAAAGTGAAAAAGGTTGGAGCCTGTATGTCATATTCTAATGATTTCTTTCCGTTTTTCAGTTATTTTGCCGACGAAGGGTTGTGTTTGAAAATCAAAGATTTTAGCTCGCGGTGTTCAGTTAATTTTCTTTGATAGAGAACTTATGGTCGAATATAGAACGAAGCGGAAACTTTCTGTTTCTGGAAAGTCTCAAACAGCACACAACTTGAATAAAACTGTATAGCACTTACAATTGAATTTTGACTTCAGATTGATGCGAATCGTAGCGTGGATGAGGTGTTTTCAGAAGTGCGAGCTCTATTTGGGGCATTACCTCCAAAGCAAGTGCAGAAAATTAGGAGAAAGAAGAAGAAAGTTGCTAGCAACGAAGAGGAAGATGAATACGAATTTGTAGAGTTCTCTGGCCAAAGGATCGTCTTTGTTTTAGGTACTGCAGCTCATATCTAATTTTCAATTTTGGGCGTGTCATGAAACACGTTCTCCCATGTGTTTGCAAATACCGCGTATGAGCTTCTTGTTGTTCTCCTTTCAGGTGGTCCTGGGTCTGGTAAAGGAACTCAGTGTAGTCGTGTTGTGGAGAAGTTTGGTTATACTCACTTATCAACAGGAGATTTACTACGAGCGGAGATCGAAGGAGGCGGAGAAAGGGGACAAAAACTTGCTAAAATAATGGAGGAAGGAAACCTTGTTCCACAGGTATGTCTTGCGAGCCGAAGCCCAAATTTCTGCCCAAGTAGACTAGTTATTTCATAATATTACTCTACTGCATTATATTTCACCCCATCCAAAGGTGTTCTACCTCGGTTGCTTGATTCTCGAATTCCGTGATCTCTTCATCCCTATCATGAATAATTAAGGCATGGGAAGAAATGAAATTTGAGAGTCAAACCAGCTGGAGACATTTTTATCTGGAAATGGAATTTTTCTGCATCATGTGTAAAGCTGGTTTTTTGCGGAGTCGATGGTGCAGATCGTGTAAAATTTTAAAAATGGTAATGGTAAGGTACGCAGAGATGGGAAAGGCGTGGTAATTTTCCCGATCATCAAAGTAAGAATTTGGGAACATAGTATTCTGCTCAGAGTGTTTAAAGAGGATGCAAGAGAGATTTGGGGGCTGCTGAAATAGAAACAGGGTACAGCTACAGTCAGTTTGACGAGTCTCTAATTCACTATTCTTTTTGTTTGTCATGCCTAACAAGGTTGAGTGGTGGCGGTTAGGTTTTCTGCATGTTTTTAAAGCAAAAGAGATGAAAACCTACGAAGCAATTTGATGGGCAACTCAGTTTCACATTTCGCTTCTCTGGCGAGCTTCCTAACCTCATAGTTTGCTTTGTTGTGTTACAGGAAGTAGTTATTCAACTTTTGAAGGATGCCATGTTGAAGCATCCAGACTCACCTGGATTTCTTATTGATGGTTTTCCTCGCGAAATTTCTCAAGGCGTACAGTTTGAAGAAGAGGTAAGTCATTGGACAGGCCGAGTATATAATCTCAATCTTGGGACCCACATCTGAGTTCTGGCCCTATTTCAAGCGTGTGATTACGGCCTAGAATTGAAGGAAAATCAGAATCCAAACGAACTGAATTGCATTATAGTTTCCTTTACCCTCGGTGGCTCTTCTTGTTGGGGCCTTTTTACTCGCATTGTGCGACATGCACCTCAAAAAGGATACCCATAAATTGTAGTGCGGACGAGAGGGGCTGGTGACGCATCCTGCATGATACAGATCTCTTCCCAATCGAAGACCTGTTCAATTCTGGTCTTAAGATCTTTACCCGTACCGCTCGAAATAACGTACTGCTAGTAGTCTTCATCGGGCTTGTCAACTCTGTGCTTAACGCAGGCGATTTTGTACTCAATCTAGCCACTGACAAGCTGAGTATTTGATCATTTTTTTTGTTTGCAGGTAGTAGAGTGCCACTTTATCCTTTTCTTTGAATGCAGTGAGGAAGTCATGGAAGAGAGACTTATCAAAAGAGGAGAGACCAGTGGAAGGGTTGATGATAACGCGGAAACAATAAAGAAACGATTCAGGACTTTTATGGAAAAGACCGTGCCAGTACTGGAGAAATATGAACAGCAAAACAAAGTTAAACGAGTATGTTTAGTGGCGAGAGATAGCAATATCTGCCAACAGTGTAGGAGCGAAAAAAAAAATCTGAGTCTCGCATTACTGTTATTAGTCAAAACCACAACAAAATTCTTTAACTTGATTATCACCTGCCGATTTGAACGGCAGGGGAACAGTTTACACTTCAAGCTTGCATTATGTATTTTTAATTTATCGGTAATACGTCCAGTTCTGTGCGCAATTATATTCAACTCACAAATCGCGGTACATTGAAGGTGGTCTGAACGCGGTTCTGCCTCCATGAAAGAAAAATTGTCTTTGAGATTTGAAAGTAATTGCTATTAATACATTTTGAAGTTTAGATAAGTGCAAGATTTCTGACCCGTTATGTTGTACTTTATATCTAGGTGGACGCCTCACGTTCTGTAGATGAGGTCTTTCTGGACGTTTGTGCAATTTTTGGAGACCTCCCCAAACTTGAAAAGAAGAGAAGAAAGAAAGGTAGACCTTTTTTACACAAGTCTAAAAAGAAAAGCGAAGAAACTTATTTATTGCTCTACGTACAAGCTAAGAGAGGTTTATACTAAGTGATGCGAAGAAAAACCTTTGTGATTTCAACAACCCACGAAACAATATTTAACTGTCAGAAGGAACCAGTGAGAACATTAAAATGATCCCATATGAGAGGCGTCAATCATGGGAAAATTTGATTTTTGATTGGTTGCGAACGTGGCGCGTCTTTCAGACCAATCACAGCGAAGAGAAGCAACACCAATTCAGTTTAGATCTACCATAGTAACTCCACAGAAAAGCTCAAAATTGATTGTTTCCCAAGTTAGAGCAATTCCTGAACACTTTGATCACTTCATTGGATTGGCTCTGCTGCGTAGTATTATTTCATGAAGTTTTCTTTGCGAGACTGACAAGGCGCCAAAGCTGTATATGAAATAATGAAGTATCTCTGTATCTGATCTTCAACCTGTTTAAATATTTTCGTAGTTAAAAAAGCCGAGAGTGGTGATGATTCCGAGTATGACGAGCTTGCCGAAGCCGTGGACGACTTGTCCCGAGTAGTGGACGGAAAGCCGATCAGGTTAAGACGAAAGAAGAAAAAGAGGAAGGAAGAAGAAGACGAGTATTCAAGAAACCCTGTATTTGAACAGCCGATTGTTGCCGAAGAGTTTATTCCGCTAATGGACGATAGTATTGCGAAAACCGATGGCAAGGGATTGTTGAATGTTCGGGTTATATTTGTCATAGGTGAGCCAAACTAACAATTCAGTATTGCATTTTTCAAGCCTAGTTTCATCACTATCAGTCCTCATAACAGACTTAAAATGAAAGGGTGTGTGTATGTATGGGCGATCGAACGTTAATTGCGGGTTAGTCGGCACAAAGAAGAAACAAGCTACATACGGTACGTGGTGGAGTTTTTCTCTACCAATCTTCCATGTTGGTCCTGGGTTCAAGTTCCCCAATCTGTCACCCAATGGCTCTATTTTCGACCGCCCCTAATTTAGCTCGGCTCCAGTAGGCGTTACGTAAACAAGCGAACTTATCCGCCTTCTGCTAGCTCAGGTGTTAAATCGGTCTATGTTTATTAAAGTGATTATGTAATTGCTTCTCACTGGCCGTGAAAGGCCCGTTTAGTAGAGTGGTTAACTTAGTAATTCTAAAATGTATTATTATTACTGTTAACTTTTGTTTGTTATTCACTTTCCTTTGCTGATTTTGTGCTCAGGTGGACCTGGATCAGGCAAAGGAACTCAATGCCAGCGTATTGCTGAAAAGTTCGGTTATACCCATCTGTCGACTGGAGATTTACTCCGAGAAGAGGTCCAATCTGACTCACCAAGAAGTAAGGAGTTGATACAAATCATGCAGAAAGGAGAACTGATTCCTACGGTTAGTTATGGCTATTTTTGACAGTTCATGTCGTTGACTAGTATGTATAATGGCTAACAACATGAATATAACGAGGTGAAGGAAAATGAGAACAACGATACGAATAAGGGGAATTTTCAGATCAAGTCCAGGCAAGGTTGTGGGACTCGAGGTATTTGAAGGGAAGTAGATTCCATGTTGGAAATCGTTTTAGGCGATTTTCTACCCTAAGTTAAGGGCATCTTCCCGGAGTGTCGAAAGAAATGCGGAATTGTATTAGTCTTTCTTTACTTTATCCAGTCATTGGCCTAGAAAACTCGTGACACCCTTTTCACTGATCAGATGCAAAACTTTGGCGTCGCAGCTCGTTTTTACTTGTTTTTACTTTGAGTCCTGATTTGCTCCTTGTAGTGTTTTCCTTTGTCCTGTTTAACCTTTATGAACACTATAGTTGTAATTCAAAAGCGCTCTGAGGTAGTATTTTTTGTTTTCACAAGAGAAAATTACGCAAAGGTGAAATGTTGCAAATAAAAGGCGGTTTGCGCGTGCGATCTTGGAAGACAGGGAGACTACGCACAATGTAATTGTGTGCAACTAATGTTCACTAACCAGGAAGTTTATCTCGGTGCTTTTCAGAGGGTGATTCTGGAGTTATTACGGGTTGCCATGGTGAACATTCCGAACACCAAAGGGTTCATCGTTGATGGGTTTCCAAGGGAAATAGAACAAGGAAAAGAATTTGAAAACGAAGTGAGTATGGCAACATTTTTATTGTTGTGCATCGTGTGGCTTAAAACTGAGTTGCATTCTATTTCATTAAATAGATCGCGGCGTGTGAGTTTGTGCTATACTTTGAGTGTTCCCCTGACACGATGAGACAGCGGCTTCTGCAGCGAGGAGAAACAAGCGGTCGCGTTGATGACAATGAAGAGACGATCGTCAAAAGATTGAAAACGTTTGATAACGAAACAAAGCCAGTCATTGAATGCTACGAGGCTCAAAACAAAGTTAAGAAGGTGCTAATTAATTGTTATAGTAGAAATTTATGAGATGAATGGTTTTGGCCAATAATCTGGATGCCGAAAATGCTCATAGGTCGCTTTTCTTTTGTTCTCGTGTGCTCTGTGATTGGTTCATTGATATAAACTTCCCGTCACCGAACAAAACCAGTCACAGCGAGCTAAAAACCAAGATCTTTCGAGAGTGGCCTGGACACATGCTAATTTTGTCGACTTCCCATTGGGTTGTTCTGTCATTGTTACCGTAACTCAAGGGAACATTAGTCACCTACATCGCTCTGACGAAGGACTAACGCTAGAAACGTCAGCCTTTTAACTCTTTACGGTGGCCAATTTACATTATCAGTTCAGTTGATAACACTTAATTACCTGTTTTACTCGCCCACCGACGCAGCAACACAGTTTCTTTAGAAACTTACCCCTTTATTTATTAGTTACCTACACTCCTTCACTTGTGTGAGGATTATTTTTTAATTGTTAGTTTAACATGGGAATTTCATAGATATTGGCCGAAGGTTCACCTGATGAAGTCTTCACTCAAGTCAGTAACATCTTTGAAAATCTTCCAAACCGCAAAACAACATCACTTCACGACTATGACGTCACGTTTATCACAGGTACTCTGATCCGTGATTTCTTTGTAGTTTGTACTGTAGAAACTCCGTTCATCATTATCATCATTATATTCACCTTAATATGACTGTTATTATTATTAGAATATTGTATTAAATATTATTACTATTATAACTTTTATGATGATTATTGTTATCATTAACTCCAACATATACCGTGGTGTGAGCCACAAGAAACAATACCACAGAGATTGGTACTGCTCACTAGTTGTACAGCCTATACACAGAAACACATCGTGCAATCGCTAATCAACCAAGTGATATATTCAAAAGGGGTATTGTTTGTCGCCTTAGGTCCGCCCGGTGCGGGAAAGGCAGACTTGGCTCGAACATTAGCTGACGCGACAGGAAGGACACATTTGTCGGTTGGTCTCATCTTAAGAGAAGAGGCGAAACAGGAGACAGAGCAAGGCCAATCGATCAAGGAAGCCATCAAGACGGGAATGTTAGTAGCTACGGTATGCAGATACGCTTTGGTTTTTGCATTGGTCACTGCAATTTTTAATTGAATGTCCATAATTGTCCATAAATTAATCTTCTAATGTACACTGTTTTTGCCGAGAAACATCGCGCTATTCCCTCGACCAATCGGATGCGAAAATAAACTTAAAACGCGGCTTGGTTACTGCATTTACTCGCACGTAGAGAAGCGCAAATGTAGTTATCTTGAGTTCTTATTGGCTTCCTGTGGTTTCCTTTTCCCTAATTGGCCGATGTGATCGCTTTGATTTAACTACTTTCAAATAAAGAGAAGATGCGTTTACGTTAACGAATCTAGCTTTTAGCCGGCAGTTAATGTTACAGTAAAGGAGCACAGTCCCTGAAGTTTGAGACACTTTTCGCTACTAACTACTAACAGTAAAAGGAACAACAGGTGACAATAAATGTTTCACCACTGAGGAGGTCAACTTTGATTCTCAACAATTAGCTAAGCTGAAAATGTGAAGCCGATCTTTTCAAGATTATCAACTATGGTGTATCTACACTGCACTGTTAAATGTTGGGAATTGAAAACGTTAATGTTCTTTAAGCATACTAAATACCTCAACACAGTTTTGTTTCTGATTTTTCTTAATTTAATTCAGTTCCTTCAGACGTTTAGAGGAGATTGCAATTTTCTTCCATTTGCCTTTTAGGATCTTGTGTTATTACTTTTGACAAAGATGCTTGAGAAAGAAGAAAAGAATTTGAATGGTTACTGCATAGACGGCTACCCACGAACAGAGGAACAGCTCGATCAGTTTAAACAAAAGGTAAGAGTAAGTATCAGCCTAATCAGCTCGCGTCGGTTTAAATTTTACCGTCTAATGTCTGTCGTCAGTTCACAATTGGCATTTTCCAGGCGTTCAGTTAATAAAAAGGGCGCAATGGAAGCCCACAACGTTTAAGAAATAGATTCCATGTTGGGGCCGTGCGTCTGTGCAGTAGTAGATCACAAGGTCAAAATGTGGAAAGAACAAAAAAGTGGCTCACGAAGCGCAGCCAAGTGTGTCACGGCTGTAACCCCGTAGCAGGAAAAATACTTTTGAAATAAGCAATCTGGTTTACAACATACTTCGAGGACAATTTCCCGCCAGGCACGAAAAGAAATAAGCCGAAAGGTGACCTTACTCAGAGGGAAAGGACAACACCCATGAGGGGGGGTACATAGCTTAAGGTTTCTCACTTTGATTAATTGAAGATACAATAGTGATGAGATCACTTTTTTCTTTTTTCATTATTTTATCGCAGGTGTCCGATTATAACAGAGTAATTTTTATAGAAGGCGAGGATGCGGAGATTGAGCGAGTTCTGAAGGAGAGAGGAGAAGCCTCAGAGAGAGAAGATGACACAGAAGTCATATCGAAAACAAAACTGGAGGTTTACAATGGAAACACACGACCAATAAGTGATAGTTTGGGAGACTCTGACAAAGCACTTAAGGTTTGTACTTGATGATCACGGTCAATTTGTCTCCTCAGGTTGATAATGTTAGCATATTTTCTGGAAGATTCCACGCATTTCGTCGCACAGTACATCCCACATATCGTATTCCCTTTTCGACGATTTTACGTTACAAAATTCTTAGTGACAACTGGTTTTAGGAGCGTCGCTAGGATTTTTCAAAGGGTGAGAGTGGGGTGGGGTGGGGTCAGACCGAGTCACACCCAGGACCTACCTGACTGTCATGTCTACGTTCACCCTGAGTTTCAACGAAAGCGAATTTTGTCGGATGACCACTTAGTGATGCAGATTGTGTGGATTCTTCACATTCGCGCTGTTTCGACACCTTAAGTTAGAGGTTTGAATACCGTTCACGTAAAAAATCACCTTATACAAAGGGGGAAGGGAACCATAGTTCCTTCCCCCTAGTTACGCTCTTTGGTCTCTTTTGTCGAGTTCTGAACTTCAGGGAGCGTGGGTCGATAATAGAGTTCGTGCCAAGTGTCTGCATTTTAGCGCCCCACTAATTGAGGCAAATGGAGCAATAGACCAGATTTCATTTATTACCCCCTAATAGCTTGGGCGACTCAGTTGACCGGGAGATTGGACAGTAGAAACCACCCGACTACATCACCCAAAACCTCATAACAGTGAGTCTCATTTTGGTCATATTCTATGCAACCAGAGCGCTTCGTGAGAGAGGGAGATAACGTTAACTACAGTACTCTCGATCGCAAAAATTGAGAGTTGGCGCCATTTGAAGGAGATTTTGCGTGACTTCACTCATACCCCGTGGTTTACCGTGTTCTCTTATATTTATTTTCCCTTCTGCAGGTTTCTGCGGCCCTACCTAAAGAGGAAGTAGTGGAAGATATCAGATTGAAGCTAATGGCAGTAACAGAGTTGTCATCCTAGGAAAAAAAAAATCCGGCGCTCAAATACTATATGTACATATGTGTAGATTGCGAATTTGACACTCCACTGCTATACACTCGGTACATACTCGTTAAAACTGATTTATACTATATCTGTGAATCACCTTCAATCAATGCAAATCATGAATGATCATTTCATCGAAAGAGGCTGAAGAGTCTTCGAACACTCCCTTGGTTTCTCCAAGAGTTTGTAGCGTTGGTGCTGTTTTGTTTTTATTTTTTTATTTCCAGTTGAATAC